ATATAATCAATAAATCTTTCTACTGTTATTTAAAATATACTTATGTTTCAAATATAAATCTATAAAGTATATATGTTTAAAATAAAGTAACATAGAAAATTTTAACGTTTTTATTTGCTAAATTTATCCTAAAAGAAATGCATTAAAGTTTAAAATAGAAAACATATTAAAGAAACGAGATATATTAATTCATGATAATTTATTCTAAAATAAATATCTAATAATTTAATATAAATATATATTGTACAATGAAATAATATTTATCCATTAGTTAAATATTGATTTATCAAAACGAGAAATACCACAAAAACTAATTAGTGCTGCGTAATGAGCATAGAGGAGACTAATGGTATACAGAAGCGACAAAACGGAGGTGCAAAACAACAAGGAAAAAGAACGAAAAAGATATGAAAAGAGAAGAGCACGTGAAACGCGACGCGATTCACAAGGCTGCGACAAGGTAAACTCAACTAACATTGTCAGGGTGGACAAGGAGCACAATCGACAACCGACCGACCGACCGACCGACCAACCAACCAACCAACCAACCAACCAACCAACCAATCGAAGAGTGGGATAAAGCTAAGCTAAGAGGCAAGTCAAAGCAAGTCGAGAAGAGCTAGGTCGAGGCGAGGCAAGGTAAAGGCGAGTAGGGACGGAGTATAGCAAGGCGCATTGGTGAGGCATGCTAAGGCAACGGGTCCAAGTCGCCGTCGTACCTCCGTACGAGCTACGAGGCCCCGGTGGCGCGTTAACCTCCCGCTCGAACGCAGTACGCTCTCGACTCTCGCGCAGGCCAGGTTGCATCAATCCTGTCGGTCGATCCGCCGACCACGTGCAACCAGCCAACAAACGGCTGCGAGAGAGAGAGCACGTGCACGTGTCCCTTATGCATCAGCAACGATATCATCGGCACGAAAAGAAAAAAAGAAGGATATACAATAATAAAGAATCTTTCTTAAAAAGAAAGAGTCCTCCGGTTCGTGTAATGTGTCATGTGAAATGCATCGAATTGCTTCTCAATGATAATCAAAAGCCAATAAAATAGTGCAAATCAAGATAATTGTAAAGATCAAACTCGAGCTCTCTCGCAATCTATATCTCCCATGTGTTTTACGGTCACGAGAATTTAATTTCCAAGTGCACGAGAAGATAATCCGAGGGAAGTCACGGTGCTCGACTGGGAAGAGCATGGATTAAAACGGACGTCGTAAATTAATTCACGAGAGATTCCGATCGCGCTCTTGGGTTTGGTTTGCGAACAGTTTACATCGGGGATATCACACCGTAACGCCGGCTGGCGGCAAATTTAATTTCCAGACGCTTTCTTACGCTTGCGAAATCAGTCCAACTGCGCGTGGAATGTGACGATTAAAAAGAGACGCGCCATCATTCTCAGCGTTCCACTTTCGGTGGCCGTGTTTAAAATCGACAGACCGAGGCAAAAATGAATTTGAAATGGTCACGCCCGTGTGCGACGCGCGTAAGCCACGCTTTTTTACCACACAGAGATGCGATCGCAGGGGTATGATATAGCCTTCGGGATCTTCAAAAATTTTCGCGCTTCAATGAATCGTAAAATAAAAACAATCGGAATCGACCAGAAAAACTCTTCAATGCAAAACCTTTGGAGATCAATCGACCGCAACGGGTTGGAATAATTGAATTATCCCGAAGGAAAGCCCAGAGGCAGGAAGACGCAAACTCTTCAGGACGACCATACATGGTCGTCGTCTGCCTACAAAGCCGAAGAAGAAGCAGCACTATGTCGTCGTGATCGCGTGGGAGGTCGAAGCATCGCATACGGCGCTTTTTACGCGCGAAACGAAGCGGAGAAATAGATTCGTGCGTTGATTCCGGAACCCACACGCGGATAGAGCGACTCTACTTTAAACTGCGTCTTTTATTCTGTTCTATTAAAAATGCACTGATTTTGTTACGAATGAATTAAGTATGTGATTAGCACCAATTTCTTCAATACATTGCGAAAACGCGTGCCGAGCCAAAGGCGGCCAACAGATTGATCCGGATGAGATCACCCGAGAGATGAAAGGAACCTGATCCAGAGCAAGTTCGTGCCGCCAAGTAGGCAGCAAACTCGAATAATCACCTGCAACTAGTTCGTTAGCAAACCGTAGCTAAATCTCTATGCAAATCACATCGCTGCGAGTGAATGAAATCAAGAAAATTTGAAAACAAAACAGAAGGAATGTCACAGGAAAAGGGAGAATAAAATGAGATTATGTGAGCGAATTGCAAATTTATAAACCGCTTTTGAAAAGACTACGTCGTATCGCGTGATGAAAGGATCGTATGCGGAATGAGGTGAAAACTGCGTAGAATACATAACGTTGACCTGTCGTGTCAACGTCCGAGATGCATTCGTAGTTGAGGTGCATTATCGGCATGCTTTGCTTACAGAGGAATCTCGCGAAATAAAAACTGTCCAAGATATGTCGCCGCCATTGCTCGTGACGAACGCGCGCGACGAATGAAGATTTTCGCGGGTAAAAATAATAATAATAAAGGATACGAGCAGCATGCCGGTCGCGGGAACGAGGAGATTATGCAGAATGGGACTCGTCGCGGTCTTGGTCACCGCGTTGTGCATCCTGACTCTGCTGGACTCGCCGCCAGCACGACTCCCGGATCCACCGACCGATCCTCCTCCCACGCCTGGTAAGCAATTTTCTTCCTCTGCAACTACTGCGACCCTTGCCCTTTTGCTATCGACGAACGGTTCACCGACATAACCTGGAAGTGCTAACACTACGCATTGGCATCTAGCGGGATTTTTTGCTCTCATGCGAATTGGTCGTGACTATAAGATAAAATTGTCAGACAAATCTTATTTCATGATGTCTCGCGAATCTCTTGAACTCGAGTGATTTTTCTGTCGTTTATTGAAATCTGAGATTTCAATGAACGTATACTTGTTCTCCTAATATCTTCTTGAAAAATTCTCGGAAAACCTGTTGTTTAAACAATAACATTAATACTTTTCACCGAATTAAACTTATCTTAAATTGTTTGGAAAAAAAGATTAGTAAATTCTCCTTTTGGAATTATAATTTTGAATTTTAATCAGTTAACAAAATATTAATATATTGAATAAAATAAAAGAAATATATACCTTAGTGTAGAAAAATTTCTTTTTAAGAACTCAGACAGTACAAAAAATCGAAAAAGAATTCTTTTTGAATCAGTAAATTATGAAATATATTCTTTTTTTATTTCATTTTTATTCTAAAAGAACATTTTTAAAGTTCCAAAAAATTTCAATTTTGAACTAATTCTGAACTCTTCTCTGAACTCTGTTTTAAATAAAAAAAAATAGACTGTAAGAATTCGCAATGAAAGCAAAATAGCTTAAATAATATTTCATCAGCAAAAATAAATAAAATAAATATAAATAAGTAACTCTCAATTCCTGGTTCAAACATATCGATTATTTATTAGTCTTGAAATAATCTTAAATTAAAGATAAAATGCGTAATATAATAAAATAAATTAATAAGTAATTTAATAATATCGATGTCAATGAGCATCTTTAAAGCATTGTAAAAAATTTATTGCGAAAAATATCATCTCAGTTGAGATTTGAAGGTGGAATTTCCTCATTCCATGCAAGCATCTTACAAATTCACTGAGACATAAGGTAATATTATCCAGGTTAAGGCAATATTTTTTGCAATAAATTTTTTACAGTTTAAGAATGCTCATTAGTATCACTATATTATTAAATTGCTAGTCAATTTATTTTATATTACGTATTCCAGCTTCAATTTGAGACTATTTCAAAACAAATCGGAATTTGCATAATTGGTTTGAACTGGAAATTGTAAAATATTATTCACACAAAAATATTATTAGATATCATGACCCACTTTAATAAAATATGATCTTTTTCGCATTTATGAATATTTCTTAATCGATTTTCACTTAAAATTAATATCGCTCAGTTGAAATGAAAGCAAACACAACATTACATAGATAATTTTCACATTTTTTACAATATTTTTCATTTTGCACCTTGTTTTTTTAACTTATTTTCAAATTTTTTCGCTTTCTTTTACTTTTTCTAACATTTTCGCGATACACTTGGAAATCTTTTATACCAATATGCAGGCACAAATCTAAAAAACTCTGCATTAAAACAAAAAAATCTGATAATGTTGCTTTGTACTATGACCTATATGGTTTTTACATATATGGTTTTACCTGTATAGTTTTTACTTACGAGAAATACAATTCCGTCGCGTTCATTTGGTGCTATGTATCGAGCGATTCTTTTCAAATCCATTACGAACAAAAAAACTTCTCTTTCAGAGCAACTTCAATTTAACTCCATAAGAAGTAGAAGGATTCTATGGAATCCTTTTTGAATTACCAGAAAAGAATTCTTTTTGAGTTAATAAAGCTACCACGAAAAAACTTTCAGAAACATTTATCTTCACAAATAAACTCATTTCAGAAGAACGTTTTAGTTTTCTTTTAGTCTTTAGTTTCTTTTAGTTGAGGCAACAAATTTGTTTCTGTAAGTTACTGTATCCAAATCAACAATATTACATTTTAATGTATAAATTTTATGTATAAAGATAAAAAAAATACATTTTTCACAATACACTTTAAATTTTTAGAAGTGAAATTTCACTCCTAAAGAGTTGCAAGAGTGGTTCGGTTGCAGGAGTGAAACAAGACTTTCACTCTTAAAAAATAAAGAATCACTTCAAGTGAGAGTCAATTTTCAATCTCTGCGGAAAATGAATAAATGAATTTCATTCTCCAAAAGAAGAGACTAAATGTAAATGTTAATTTTAGTCTCCTACCTTGTCTCCAATCTTGATAAAAATTAGGCTCATTCAACATGCCTTTGCATAAAACAAACGAATTTGACAGGATAATGATCATCAAGATTAAAGAAGAAAAAAAAAAAAAATTTTTTTAAGAAATTCATTCTTTAAAGGAATAAAGTGAAATTTATCGGATTGGCGCAACTATTACTTTTCTTGAAGTGAAATTACACTCTCAACAGAGTGTAGATAATTTAATAATACAATATTTAAAAAAATAATGTAATCTTTAATAATCTAAAAATTGAAATTATCTGGTCAAAATTCTAATTCATTCTCATTACGTATTTTAATCATTGACAAATCATTCCAAATCTAAGCAATGCAAAATATTGTTAATAATAATTTTTTTAAAAACATTTTATACTTATATAACATTTTATAAAAATTACCTACTAATACTATAAACGCGCGAGTGTGATCGCGGATAAAGTAGAATAAAAGGTCTATCTTTTTACGTATGTAATAACAACGCACTGAAACAAAAGGAAAATATATAAAGAAAATAACAGTTAATAACTGTTAACAATAAAAAAAGGAGTAAATATTACGTGGAAACGTTCTGTAATTAACCGTTACATTTAATTATTAATATTTGAATTTTTTACACACTAATTACCGCATTGACTCTTGATTACCTGTGAACTTTTTTTCTTATTTATTAATTTTATTTTTTTGTTTTTACAAAAATTGTAAGTCTTTAGTTCAATTAAGTCATTGCTATTATTGTAGTAAGATTAACAAAAAAGATACTTAACTTTAATAGGTGATTTTATATTAGGATTTGTTTGTACTATTGTAAAAAATGTATGACTTACAATATTGTAATTTGTTTCATTGTTAGTCAAATATTACTGTAGTTTAATACAAACTGCAAAGTGTTAAGTTCCTTGACACGGTATGAAAGAAGAAGATTCGCACGCAATAAACTTGTTCGAAATACCCGCAAGCGTTTGTTGCTCAGTACCTACACGCTCTTTCCTAGTCACGTGAAGTTTCTCAGCATTGAAATGTTATCCGGCCAAGCGAATAATAAAGAGCTGCTATCTGCTTTTTTAAACGCATGTTCATCGCGAGTAATTGCATGGGTGCTACGCTTTCTAATACTAACAACGAATATGACTACATAAATGACTCGCTTCAAGGGCCGATACCGATCACTTGCGCTACGCACCGCAAAAATTCAGCTAGGCCCTGCACGCAATATGCGTACACGCATCTCCCTCTCCATGAGAGAATCTAAAAAGATACGAAGATAACGCATAACCAAGTTCGCGAGCGCAAAAGAAACGCGATACGAAGTTATAAATAAACCTCGAAGCTTTGGCATAAAGCTTGCCAAGGACGTAAATCTCGGCGCTGTTCTTTGGTAGTAGCGACTTCATTAGTCGACGTAATTTATGACGTGATTCATCGAGTGACCACCCGTCGACTCGTACGTTTTCGCGTAATTCACCTTCGCTTTTACCATACAAATATTTCACAGGAATTATGACAGTCGATCGTACGGCCGAAACCAAAACTACATCGAGATATTGTATTCACGAATCAGCTCAACAAACCTTTGAGATTTGTCTATCTTACCGCATAAAGATCGCTTTCACGGATAAGAATTAAATAATCACGCGCACTTATTTAATGCTATATGTATATAAAAAACAGCTTATAATATTATATATGAACATATATAAATTCAGAATTGTTCAACATATAGAAATTCAATTGTTTTTACGATGTGGAAAAGTAGATTCAGTTAATTACACGGGTAATAACGATTCAAAGGTAATAATTACGATTCTTATCCAGATGTATCCGTGTTTTGAGGTCACGCACTTCAATTAGTTAAAGATAAGTGTTCCTCTTGTCGAGAGTAATTTCTAACTAATTAGTGATGGGTCTTAAAAATCAACACGATTTATTTGCTGATTTATCTCTGTAGCCGGCTGTAGATTCACTCTCCGCCCTGACAGTGCGATTTCCATGAGAACGCTGGTATGCATTAGCGTATTCCTAGCGTGGTACGAATGCCTCTCTCGTGGGGCCGCGTTTACCTTCTCGTAAACCTCGCGGAGCGTGGCCGCGACGGACGGTCGAGGGGAAAAGAGCAGGTAAAGGGCACGGAGTCACGAAGAATACTCGCGGCACGCAAACACGTAATATCCATCGTCGGCCCGGTTGGGTCAAACGCCGACTTTTAACGACACATCATGACGGGACCATCAACCACCCCGTTGCCCGCGGACTCCATGGATCAGTAGGCTCGGCCAGTCTCGTTACCTCTCAACGTCAAGATCGTCCGGAAAATAGTCTCAGGCGTCTCGTCAATAACGCTCGCGATCCATATACGTTGAAGACGAGTAATTGCAAACGAGACGAGTCACGAAACGTATATAGTGCCATAAATTTACCCGCAGATGCCAACACGGCGCGTGACGTCTTATTTTTTTTCTCTTTTTCCTTGTCTGACCATCGGCATCGTCGCGCCGTCCCAGTCACGGGTCTAGTTGTCGCAGAAATAATTATAAACAAGACGTAACGAGAGTTTTTAAAGCTATCATCGATATAGATTTATTATCATTCTCAAAAGGCAGAGCACAGAGTTGGACGTGTCTGAGCGAATCCTGTCTGTGCAAATTCCATTAATGTGTGAAAAAAGAATGGATATCTCCTCTTTAGGTCCATTTTAGTTCATGATTACACGAGGAATGAGTTTCTCCGCGGAATACTGGATATGCAACGCATTCAACATTAGGGAGCCTAATTAGTGGTCATGTCGATTGAAATTTCCGCCAACTAATTTTCTCTGCCTGCCTTTCTCCCTTTGAATATTACTAGAGCGTCGCGTTGGAACATATGGAAATTGCAATTATGAGAACTACCATGCGGCACTGATAAACGAGAGAGAGCGATACCTAAAGCGAATGTTTCCTGATGCAAGCATAGCAAACTAAATGAACGTGAATGTATTTATAATATGGGTTCGTTTCTAGCACGTAGACGTGTCACTTCCGTCCGGTTGTGTATAGAGTCAATGTCTTTGGCGTTGATTCATGATCCTCGTAGTGGATAAGATAGAGAACCGATCGCGCGGCTTCGACAATAAGTTGACGTTTAGTAAAACGAATACAGCCGAGACATCACACTCGCAGAGAAATTAGAAGATGATATGCCAGTAAGTGGAATGCGAGCGATACTATCGGTGTAATAATGTAAAAGTTTTGATAAGCTACAGACAGTATACAGTTTGTTATACAACGTGTATTGATGGCAGCGCAGGCACTTGCCATTACAAGAAAACACAGTCAACCGAAACTAGTTAACTAGTTAACTTGGATGAAACTTTGAGTATAGAGTAACTCGAATTACATGAATATGCATTATTCGCCTTTAAATGTGAATAATTTAGAAATACATGAAGGGAACATCATGCCTATAAACATTGTAAATGCTAAATCGAGCAAAGTTTATCTTATTAAATAAATAAATTATAATGCTATGTAATATATTAAAAATCAGCGTATCATGTTAAATAAACACGAGTACTATTCAAAATCAGAAAAATGTTATGTACGATTCATTTAATAAAATAAATATTTCCTATTAAATATGATTTTAATGAAAAAAAGTATTTTAATTATTGTCTAACATTTTACTAAGAAAAAAACTGATCGTTTGAAATTAATTTAGCTTTTTATTTCTTTCGTTGAAAAATGTACACGGAGAGAATTTCTTCTTACAGTTTAAATTAACCCTAAATTAACCCTAAAAATATAATAGTTGTGGGACATTTCCAAAAATTTTAATATAAATCTCCTTCATTCATTAATAAAATTACAATAAAGTATAAAACAAGTTTGATTAATTTTACTGAAGTGCATAGTAAAAATCTCCAAAATATTGTACCACAATCATATTTTCGAATAAATTTTAAAACAAAATTTTCTCCGTGTATGTATTTAAGTCAAATATGATATGTTTGATTTAAATACATACATTCTTCATCGAAAGAAAGACAACTAAATTAATTTAGTTAAATGAAGAATTTTTTCTCAATATTCATATTTAAAAATGTAAAAATTTAGAAAGAAAGTTTTTTTTATTAATAATAAAAAGATGTTTAAATATCGTTTAATAACGTTCTGATATTTTGTTTTTGTAATTCTATTTGTTTCCGATTTTTGGCTTTGCAGTGCTAAATTTATTTGCAAACTTTTATTCAAAATATTTTCCTTATTGAAATATTAGTGTCACGTGCTAAAAATTGTTTTTTATAATTGCTTAATATTACACCTTTTAAGAACGATGCACACGAAATAAAGTTCACACAAAATTTTATTCATATTTATGGATTCTGTAGGAATGTGGGGAAAAATGCTATTAGCGCTCTTTGTGTCATTCTATCCTTGTTTTCTATCTAATGAACAATAAAGAAAGAATGACACAAAAATCACTAATAGGGTCTCCTTGAATGCATCTTATATCGGCAATATTCCTTTGTTAGTTATAAGAAGCTTAACAGAATTGATTTTATGAAAGTATCTAAAAACAGTGACCTATTTTCCTACAAATATATATTATATATTTGGAAGATACATATTTCATCATGAAAAAGAATTATTAAATAATATACTATGATTCAATAATTTACTAATGCAGTGTTTTTAATTTATTTTTTTTTTATTTCAATATAATATGTATATCTATCTCTAGTAATTCAACACAAAATGTATTTGCTGAATATGAATAGATATTTTTTATGAAGCACTACTTGAACAGGAAATAAAAAGGGAAGTTTTAATTATATTTTCAAAAAAATAAACATAAATCGCAGCAAGAATAGTGCTGACTCTGTGATAGCTAGTACGAAATGCGCGCACATTACTTTTCTTATCAAAAACTTGAATTAGCATTATTCTCTTCATCAAGCCTCATAATTAACTTCTTCGAATGCTTTCTCCATTCGTTCCGATCAAACAACTTAGCGTCATTTCTTGCGCATGTTCTAGGGGGTGAACCGCCAGGTACAAGAAGCATCGTCGCTTATTCGTGGGCCCGAAGATTGGCACTCGATTACAGGCCCACCAAGCAGTGCGACAGTAATGGTACACGCGGAATGGCGTTAAACGCGTACAAGCTGCCCGGCACGAAATGGCTCGAGACAATCCCGGGACAGCTCTTCCTATACAGCGCCCACTTGGACCTCAGAATCGCCGGTTACCCGAGCATCAGAGTGATTGGCGTTAAACGAGGAGTCCTGCCGTCCTCCGCGCTCTTCTGCACTATATGGTGAGCCATTTTTCATGTCGCGGTGCAGCCCGTTACTCGTCTATCTCTGACGAACATTAAGTAGCAAGGAAAAGAGAATCACTAAAGGTTGCTTATAAACGAGTGACGTCGTCTATTGCATTGACAAATCGACCAAATTAATATTAACCTTATCTAACGGAAATTCAATTAGATTATAATTAAATTGATTATTTAAATTATTAATAAAGTTATAAATATTTCTTCTATTTCCATTATTTAAAATGGTACTGTCAATTAAGTTGTAAAAATTGGACAATGTGCTTTAAATTTCACGCTCATCTCTACCTTACTTAACAAAATGTAATTTTAAACCATGTTTCTATAATTGAAAATAATAAGTGTTCAATTCATGATATTATCAGTTAAAATATAAAATTGGTTTGCGTATTTGTTTCTGTTTGTTTCTTCTAATTCGATGTTTGAGAAATGCTAAAGTCTTATTTCTTTTTAATATACTTAAAATAAATGCAGGACATAAAAACACATTAATATCAAAGTATTGTTAACCAAGAAATTATATATAATTACTTTTATATAATAATATATGTTAATAGATATACGCTATAGTTAACTGCGCTCAATTGCCCTCATTTCACTTCATAATTAATTTTAATATCAAATTTATTAAATAAAATTTATTAATTCATTTTATACTTTTAATTTCAGTGAAATTAAACTTTGTTACGCAGATAGAACGTACACAAATTAGTTGTTTCAAGTAGCGTTAGGAGTGAGTAATGCAAACATTAGCAACAGCATATTTGCTTAAAATACACGGTTGAAAGACCGCATTATAAATGTCTCTATAAATGCCTTCCACCATGCATGCAGGTGTTTTCCGGTAGGATACTCAACATTAACCAACGTGCCTTTTCGATCGGAAAAGATAGATTAAGCGTCTTGGTTTTATTACGTACTTTCAGGTACTGGGAAAACGAGAGGATGCTATCGTTGAGCGTGGAAGCGCTCATCTCGACGATCTGGTTGGACGAATGGGGTGAAACGGTGGACAATTACATCGGAATCCTCGTGAATTGTCAATTGCCGTTAGACGGTTCGATACGCCATACATCTCGGGTTCATGTAAGTCTGAGTTCTTGCTACGAGAATGCTAGTCATAGTTTAACGATTCGCTCGGAATTCGGTGACGAGACTTTTATCGACCGGAAGAGGCGCCAGCAGTTCACTCTGTGCATTAAAGGATTGGACTTCGACGAAGATATATCGCATAAACTAATAGCTTTCGTCGAGCTACATCGTATTCTAGGTGCTCAATTCTTCTACTTCTACGTATTCAACGTGCACGAGAATGTACTCAAAGTGCTACGCTTATACGAACGATCGAACGTGGTGCGATGGTTCACGCTTGACCTGCCGGGTGATTTGCCAAACGAGAAGACGGCCCGAAGGCGATTCTTCAACGAGGACATCTGGACGAAGAGGCGAATGGAGTTGATCCCATACAATCACTGCTTCTATGAAAATATTTACCATTCGGAGTTTGTGGTGCCAATCGACATCGATGAAGCGATTGTGCCGACGCGCCGGAAGACCTGGCACGAATTGTTGCTAGACGAACGCGCGAAGCTCGGCAGAAGCTTCAAAGACTTCGCCTCGTATTCTGTACGGAACGCCTATTTCTTTCCCGAGCTGCAAAATAAGAATCAAACCGATCGGTCGGCCGGACTGGATGAGAAGCTCCGTCGCTCGGTCGAGTATACAGACTATCTGGATACCATGAGGACGGCCAGTATTTCGCCCGAGGGCGACTCGGTGAAAAGTTTCGTCTCCACGAAGCGCGCGTTAACGGTGCACAATCACTATGCTTTAACCACGCTGAACCCGTCTACTAGACGGGCTCATCATCTGGACTCAAACGACGTGCTCAAGCACCATCACCGAGCTTGCGACAGCCGACATCTCGATTGCGATCTCTTAATGGAGGACGTTAGGATCGACGAATCCGCTTTACGCTATGCGAACGAGCTGAAAACGAGGATGAAGATTGCTTTAGCTGATCTCGATGCGTTGTCATAGATTAGTTGTAAATAATAAAAATTCTTTTTGAAATCCTCGTCTCTTATTATCTATCAGCCAATCCTTGCGATATTCTTTAAGATAATTTTAACGTTTATCTTTAATAGTCAAAATATCAAAACATATTTAAATATTAATATTCAATATTTACTTTGTTGATATAACAAAATGAATTAGGCATAATTTTTTTTTAAGCGGATCAATTAAGTTTGTTCACATTTTTATTAATTTAAGTTTGTTGATTAGCATTGTGTTGATTAGCAGCTGCTTCAGAAAAAAATTTAAAAGATATAATTTAATAATGTGAAAACAGAGAGAAAGACTTGATTTATCCTATTAAAGTTATAGTACAGAAATAATCTGAACTCTTTTTCCCTGCATTCATTGTCAACTTTGAAATGGAATAGGTCGCCTAGAAATGATAGCGCCAAGAACCAGCGCCAAAACAAGAGTAATAATGACATTTTCTGAGCATTGCACTTAAAATTATTACGGTCAAGTGAAATAATTGGAAACATGTAAAAAGATAAAAGCGAGCGTGACACTTTTCAGGCTTGACAAGTAAAAAATGATATTGCGATCGAGCATGATAATTGGAAAATGTGTAAAATAATAAAAGCAAGAAGCTTGCTTCATATTTTTCAGTCTCGATGCTTGAAATTATTCCAGCTGAGGGTACAATGATTGGATTTAAAATGACAAAGGCATGTTTGATGAGCCTTCAAGATTGATGCTTAAGTTTGTAATAGTCGGACGCAATAATTGGAAACCATCTAAAACGACAAAAGCAAAGATGATAGCTTTCGAGGCATGAGACTTGGAGCGCTTCGAATATTCAAATGACTTTAACAACTATAACTGCCTTTCGCGCCGCCACGCCGTGGCTTCAACTGTCTGACACGTTTATCAAATGAGACGAAACGAACGCGCTATTTACGTGAAGGAAAGAATAGGAAAGGTAAGAGTCTCTTGAGTTAACGAGTACGTACGAGGAGTGAACGACTTTATAAAGCACCGCATCCATCATGCTCGGTACGTGTGAACGACAGTTTCAATCTCGCTAAAGTGGCGGTTTGGTGGTCATCCATTAGCGTTCAAGATCTCGTACTATACACAGGTCAAATGCCTCGCGCTTCAAACGGCCTCAAGGAAATTTCTATCGCTATCGTTATCGACTGATTAGATTCAGATCGAATCTTTCGATACAGAACGGCATTACGCGCAACCGTTATCAAACATATTTTTCACAGATTAAATCGAAGAGGAGACGGAGACGGAGACAGAAACGGAAACGACTTCTGAGCGCAAGCATCCGAGACGGAAGATAAATTCCGGAAGCAAACAAAGGTACGATTCGTTTCAAATGCGACCGCGATTCCCTTAGATAAGTTTTACGATTCGTATCGAGCACAGTGCAAGGTCGTAACTAGATTTAATAGATCATAAAAAAGCTATCGTATCCGCATTTTCTGAAACTTGTTACAAGGCAAGATAAAAGCGGAATGCCATTTCCGTTCAAGAGAAAAGGAGATAAGAGATAAGTTCGCGAAATGCTAAAATTATTCACAGACATTCACGGCGTGCCAGGCACTCTTGGACGTGTCGCTTCGCCGATTCTTCAAATGTCACTGCGACTTCAAAATGCAATAACTGAACTCGCAAACTTCCAAAGAGATGCGATAGTTATAAGACGGAGAAAAGTTTTCCGTCGTACTCTTCAAGTATATCGATCAGCCAGGGTTGCTATCGGCATTTAGGGCGACAGGTTACAAGCAAGCACCGAGAAACATACGCATCTAGATCGTTCTAGTTACATACAATAATGTCTCGTACAAGCGAGACAGATGGACCCGATAACGTATCGCTAAAATGGGGGAGAAATCCGCCAGCCACTATACTCACAAACTCGCTATTACACCATGAAAATCTTGTTCCTGATTTTTCATCTAGTTCAAGATTAGCCGCGTCACACCGGTCGTCAATTTGAATAAATTTATCTAACCTATATATATTTACTCTTTTATCGATCGCGATTTTTATACAATCATTTATTTTGTTAGTCTAGTAAGAATTTGAGACAATCCTTCTATTTCTAAATCTCTAAAATTTGAGCATTTTTAATTCATAAAGATTTTTTATTTTATACAGTTTTTACCAAAAAATAAAACATCTTTAATAACATCTTTAATATAAACTCTTCGCAAAAAATATTCGCAAAAAAAGTATCAAATAAAAACTTATATGTGGTTACAGCTATGTATAATACAATATGTTCACAATCTAATTGTGCAAGTAGCTACTTTATATTCATAGTTAGATCTAATTGCATTGTTATACAGACTTTACGATTGGTACAACATGTTGCGAAAGCGAAACGTTGGATATAAATGAGTTAACATTCCCGCGGCGTATACAATTTCGGAAATTAAAATTTTAACTGAAGAGCATCCAATTCATCATAAATCTCATTATATCCTTTAGTTCACGTTAACGCACGTATCTCTTTACTAATTTATATCTGCGACGTTTGAGTTACAACGTTTTTTCCAAGCTGACAAAGTAATCTCGCTAAGTCACGCCTGAAGGGTTCCATTGAACATTTCGCGCGAGCCGCGTTAATTCGACCATAGAATATTTTCGCGCGGCATGACGAGAAGCCATGCTCTACTTAACAAAGTATCCACAAGAAGATGTTCGTCTGACAACACGTGATAAAATTCGCACCGATGTCACGTTCACCGCTCACTGGAGCTAAAACCGATCCTGAATTAATGCGATAATAAATCATACGAACTTTAAGAGAGGCTGTACGCGCCTAAAGGAAGTGCATGTGCTCATCGCCTGTCTAAATTTATAAGCATACTACTATGTACTGAATGCCCGAATCCCTGTCTATCTTTTTCATATCGCGTCAGCGATAACAACGACAACAACGAAACGACGACGATGTCATGACAGTGGAAGCTTTATCTTTCATCCCCGCAAACTTTCGCATGGAATTCGCATATATCATCGGTAATAATGTCTCCGACAGTCGTGTGCACCTGCTTTCTGACTGCGATCCCCTTGCTTGAATGAGACGTCGACTTGAATTGTTATTTCCGGGAAAAATATGATCTACAGAAAGATCGATTTTACTAAAGTATCTAAAAATTTAGCTAGATGTAAATCTGAAAATGATTTTGTTGGTCCATCAAAATAATTATGTAGAACACTCAAGCTGACTGCTGAAATGTCAAAAGTTTTTGCAATATTGCTCATCATGATTGAAATTTTTACATAATTATTTCGATGATCAAATTTATTTTCAGATGTATGTCTAATTAAATTTTTAAATGCTTGGAAATCGTTCTTTCTGTGAAAAAATCATATTATAATATAAACCCGAGCAGTTGAACAAACATGATCGCCGACCTCGTCGACGATGACATCGCCGCAAGTAATCTCCCGAGCGAACAAATTTTTACAATTCTCCACTCTTTTCCTCCTCTGAACAATCCAGGTTGTTTTTCTTTAGAGATCGATTCTTCTTCTATGTCTGTTTCTGTCTCTGAATTTCACTACTCATTTTTCCCGTTGAAGAATTCATCATTCATTCCGTCATCCCAAGTTGTATTTCATTGTTTAAACGACGCTTTTCTTGAAATGTTGTGAACGACTGATCGCACGCGTCATAAAGGTAGGTCAGTTTCTGCACGATGAGGGGTAAATGGGAAGCATAATAACATTATAGAGATGGCTCTAGAAACAAGCTTGAATTCTCCGAGACTACAGTTTTCCCGTCGCGAGACAAATTGAAGTGTTCAACGTCAAGAAAACGTGTAATGTTTCTTTGAGATAACGTGTTTAAAACATTATGAAGTTGAAATTGTATGAAAAAGAGAATTTACAGATGATTTATGATATTAGATATAGGTGTAATTTTTTTTTCAAATTTATCAATGAATTTATATCTGACTGTAATTATAAGAAATTATAAAAAATAGTTAAATATTTATATAATTAAGTTTTTATTTCTATTAAAAATAGTTAAATACTGATAGTTAATCTTTTATTTTTATTTCATTTCAACTATCTATTCCACTATTATTCACCTAAACATGAATATGTGTATGTGTAGAGAAATATGTTTACATATTTCTCTACACATACACATATTCATGAGTACAGTAAGCTCGAGTTCGTTTATTAAACTCAAATGACTATGCGGACTACTCTCAACCCCGCAAGCTGTATATTTGTAGCAATGCTCTACGAATTAATTAGAGACATTCATTTGAAATTTACGAAGCGTATAAATAACATTTTCATGCCACATTCACATGAAATCATAGCTATCAATTAAATCCAGTCAATTAAAAACTAACATGTTCAATATTTTTATTTTAAAAAACAACTTTTAATATCAAATTTAAAAAAAGAAAAAACATTCATAAGAAAATTTATTTTTATTTTATATATATTTTATATATAGTTTACTTGATTCATTTTTCTAAAATTTTTTTAAATATAAGTTTGTAAGTTTACATTATTATATTATTATATTATTTTTTCGTTACAATTTTATCCTACACATAAAAGGCTAATCTTTAATCATTAACACAAAGCTCGATATAAAATACAAATATTAAGAGCTTAGCTAAATCAAGGCCTAAATCTACAAGAAGTGTTCTGCTAAATTATGCGCGTGTCATAAATTTGGCGAGAATCAGGGGCATATGAGCACGCGACACGAATGCTCATATTGTAGCACAAAAAAGTTGGAAAACATAGCTTTCGCGATTCGTCGGGTATCTGCAAGCATGCGCCTGCCATCCGCTAAAGTGAGAGAGAGAGAGAGAGAGAGGGTTGATCGCAAGTAAGCAGCACGTGCGTAACAGTCATCCTGGCGCATTCGCCAGGACCACTTGCATCTCGGAAGTTATCTTTCCATCATCGGATGTTATAGATCATTACGCGCAATAAACATTTACAATCACATTAACACTCGTTTTCGCATCTCGCCCGCGAAAATTCTTAAAATTAACAGTTATATTATTGCTTCATTACATTTTTCATTACAAATATTAAATCTTCCTTTAATTCGAGCTCATCTTAAAATAAACATAAACATTATTCGTGGTGGTAGAAGAATTTTCAAAGTAATTAACATCTCAGATTTATTTTTTGATTTATTTTAAACGCACACTGCAGTGGAAATATATAGAGTGAACGTCGCAAACGTCGCAATACGGTGATACGTATAAAATATGCACGATTATCACGAAGAGTTACTGCACGATTACACGTATACGCGTACCCTGCGCGTATACTGCGTCAAGAATGCGACTCATTTACACATTATTAAGTATTCCCGACAGATTCTATTAGCGACCATAATTTCTATTATTTCCGCACGGATACAAATCGTCGGTATGGCAAGGCGAATTGCCAAATCCTCACTTTCGAGGACGAAAGTTCTCTATCCACTAAAGAATATAAGAAAGAATTTTATCCAACAATGTGTTCGCTTGAGTGGACCGTAAAAAATAAAAATTTTAACATAGCATGACAATATACAGACATAATAAAATGAGGCACAGTAGTTCTTGGCCCGATCGAGCACCGCAAAAAGTGAAGGTGCGTGTTGATCCCTTATCTCGTGCCTTTACAATTATCCCAACGAGTCGCGAGACGGTATATCGATTGGAACAAACTGCACCGCGATCTAATTGCCTGGAAGAAGTCATCTTTCTAGATCGATGTGTCCCAGGAGTAGTCACATCCGTGATGATAAAACGAAGATTAATCGACGGAAGGACATCTATAAATAAGAAATCCGCGAATTTCTTTGAGAATTCCGATGTAACTAACGAAACGAAGATCATAAAAAATACGAGTCGATATTTCATGCCACGCAGTCTTTCTTTAATCGAGACAACTGCAACTCATCAAAACTCGGTCATTGTGTTAGAAGAAAACATCGTCCGAAATCCATTGAAATGTAAATCAGACTCGCTCGAAAAGATTAATAATGAAATAATGACGCGAGATATGAAAAGAAACTCCATTTCAAGAACTACATCAGATATAGACTTTTCAAAATTGCTTTCGAAAAATGTGCATGTTGAGGAAGGAAAGGAAGCACTCGCACAACTGAAAAATAAATCTCCTTCATTTGCAGAAACGAATGCTTTTGATGTCATAGTAAATATTGCAAATGAAAGTCAACACACAGTTAGTATCGCGCAAACAAATCATTCGCAAATACGAGAAACAGATGAGATGAGAAAAAAATATCAAACTCTGGTTTCGCCCACATCCTCAACGAGACACACATCTTCGCCACCGCATATCAAAGTGGTGGATTATGACGATTATGTGACATCCATGTCATTTTCATCGAAGAATGATCTTCATGCCTGTCCAAAGTGCATGTCCGAGGGTGTCCTTCGCTCGCAGATCGATCCTTTTCGTTCCCCTTCGCAGAACAAGAAAAACGATGCCACCAACGCGCGTGGTATTCGAAGCGATCTGGTCGGACGCGAAAAAAAGGAAGTCGAGAAGTATCAGAGCAAAGATATCTGGTACGCGGACCGCTTAATCGGGGAAGCAAGAAACGTGGATAAAGATGACAAAAAACTGCAGCAACAAAGAAAAAATTACGACTTGTCGCCATTGCGACCGGCAATGGACTTCAGAAAGGAGGCTACTCTGAGACGGCATTATTACCCCGAGGGAGGTTGGGGATATGTCATTGTCACGTGTTCGGTATTGGTGCATTTCATCGGGGTGGGTCTGCAACTCGCCGCTCCCGGATGCTGGCATATAACAGCCGAATTACAATTCCGACATCCCCCGTTACACAGTGCAGGTATGAAATCTAATATTCTTAATGCATTGAAAATTAACTTTATAAACATCTAAAATTTGTAATATAATAGTACTTAGTTATATATAACAATAAATAAATACAATTTTCGATAGATATAATGAATTTGATTAAATCTCTATGTATTTTGGCAACATGTATTCACATCAATATTCTACTCATTGGCTATTATCTACATATTTTACATGATAATTATGAATGATAATGCAAATTTAACGCAAATGTATTTATGAAAATTTTGGTTATTCATTAATATTCTCAAATAAATCAAAATTTGTTTCAAAAATAAACTGTAATGTTTGTTTTAAAAATAAACTGCAATACGTTATATTGATTTTAGATGTTCATGTGTGGAAAAATGTCTTATATTTACTAGATATTTTTTATTACATATTTGGTTAAAATAATGTCACACTTTCTATCTTTCTTGAACAAAATCATTATCATTTTTCATGTTTTTTCACGAAATAGCAGTCTATTTATCATCATAGACGGTAAATAATCGAAGTAAATCGAGATAAATCTTGACGATAAGTATCCTAATTCTGACCTGGATATGTCTCCTTACGGATGATATTTTGATCACGTAACTATTCATACACCCTCTCAAATCTGGTAGTATCATAAATTATACACCCAGAGATACTATGGACACATTGGACACAGAGCGAAGAGATGAAAGCTCGAGAAATCCAGATCTTCAATCAATGTGCGATACCTCATAGATACTGTCTATTATATTTATCACCTATACTACTTCATACTTTTTAATAAAAATGTATATAAAATTATTAAAATAAAGTATTACTTTCCTATTATTCACACAAAGTTAGAAAATTACACATTTTTTAAATAAAGAGTGCTAGTGGGAAAATATTTGTTAGAAAAATGACAATAGAAAATTTTATTATCGCCAATTCAATATTTTAATATCAGTATTCTAGTTTAAGTGAGAGTGATTTTCAATTTAAACTTTATCCAAAATAAAATCCGTAAATATAGATTAAATATAGATTGACGTAACAAATAAGTTTGTTTTCTGTTACAAAATACTGAATAATAAATGCAAACCAGATCTACATATATTTTGGTAAAAAATTTTAATTCTATTACTATTATGTTTCTCTAAAAAAATTTACTATATCTCAATAAATATATTTTTTAAATATTTGTAAATAAATATTTACTTACAGTAAATAAATACTTTAGATAATTAAATTAATGGTTCTTACATCAAATAAATATATGTTAATAAATGTTTACTTATTAAAAAAATATTTATTAAGTAAAGTAAATTTTAAATAGTAAATTTTTTTTCAATGGTTATTTATCAGATAATTCAATGTAATGTTTTATTCATCATTCTTAAGATGAATGCATGTTTACATATCTTGACGAAACTTTATTACATAAGAATAAAATAATTGTGAAAGTTTTATCTAAAATGAAATGTGCCATCGAGTAACATTAAAAGGAAATAATGCTTACTATTTCTAAAGAAACTCGGTAACTGTAGTCGAAGTTGAGATCAAAGTTATACTCAACTTTGCACCTCTGACACACATTGATTTTCTTGCCGCGTTTCCCACGGGCCAAGTTCCAATGGATTGACCGCAATTTGTTTGCCTTGTCATGTTCAAAACGCAGTTTTTACAATCTCTACAGAATCTTTTGATTCTGACAAAATAAAGTATTTCTTTCAATATTACTTTTCATCAAAAAGATATATTAACAGTATCAGCTAATAGCAGTCTAATTAAGAAAAAAAATAATCTTTTTAATTTTTAATGATAGTATTGATGAAAAAAATATTTTATTGAAACAACAGTATGACGTTATTTACTTTTATTAATATACTATGAGTTAAGTAATATATTATGAGTTAACAAAATTAATTATTTTCAATTAAATTGCTATTATTTACTATCAATAACATCATTTTTTGCATGTAGAATTTTAAGAAATTTTATTCAATTATATGTATAGGAAGTAAGAAAGTTTTTGATCGAATAAACAAAACAAATAAATCTTTTTTATAATAAATAAATTTTATAATAAATAAATATTAACTCCATGACGCAGATAAAAAATGAATATAAATCTATAAACAAATTAAATTTCAAGTTTGTATCAACTAAGATTAATTTCTCATTTCATAATAAAAAATTTAATAAGTTTTTCCAACAGTAATAATTTTTGTATGTATTTCCTAGTATCACTTATTCTGAAAACGTAGAGATACTTTTCAACCGGGCCTTATATTTTCGGGATTAATGCATACGAAAGAAGAATACCTCCCATGCGTAACATCGTAAAACGTACGTGCGAGAAAAATCAGGACAACGAATCGACAGTCGAAACGCGTCGCGCGGCTCACGTTCGGCCTAATGCGTGCAAAGCATTGCGATGCATTTACGAAACATCACTGGATTTCACACATCGAGGATAGTTCTCGTTTGCAATCCACCGATGTTGGTGTAACTTAATACTCGGTTTTATTTGTTACTAGGCATCCTTTCACGATGAATCCAATTACAAAAGTGAAAAAAAAAGAATATAAATAAAAAAACTTGGAAAATGTGGAATTGTTACAATGAATGAAATGAGTGCTTCGCATTTCTAGTGTATCTGAAAAAGTATTTCACTTTGCATTCCTGGTGTATCGTTACCATACTACGCGTAAATCCATTGATAGTGAATTTTACTTACTTTAGGAACTTAGATAAGAGCACAAAATAAACCCACCATAAACACCTCTTTTAAAATAAAAACAAATTAAATATATACGAAGACTGCCTTGTTTGTGACTCATTTAAATATCGCGATAAATAAAGCGATGCGCGACGACGTAACAGTATATAACTTCGATTTCAAATCATTTTCTCAATATGAAAATTCAACGGCTGAGACATCTTCAATTGTAAGAGTTTGAGAAATGAACCGCAAAATGGATGAACAAGCTGATTCGGCGAGGTCATGCGAGAAACCAGCATATCGCAAACGTCGCCGCTCTTACAGCGCGGCTATAAGCGAGGAGAATTCGCTCGACGAAGATGACAACGACGAAAAGCCAGAGGAAGAAGAATCCTATCCCCATCGTGACGATGCAACGCGAGCACGTTGCTGTCGGCAACGCGAATGCATTGCGCGGAAAATATCCAGTGTGGAATCCGAGACCCGCACGTCGACCGAGAGCTTCGTTTCGAAACGGGCGTCGACGAGAGAGTCTTCCGGCGACATTGCGAAATCATGGAGCGAGATCGAGCTGCCCGAGTTACTGTTAACGCATCCGGAGATCCTATCACGTATGATGCGATGTCGTTGCTTCCTGGCGCAATTCTCCGCGTGCCAATACCAGTGCCGTTGCATTCAGTGTCAGTACCAGCGTCGGAAGATTTCGTCCACGTCCTCTTGCTTCGCCAGGGATTCGGTTCAAGGAGTTGGCGCGAGGCGGAAAGACTCCGGAAACTCCGTGTCTACTTGTCAGAGCTTCCTTCCCCCTTCGTCCGGCAGAAACTCTGTTGGCAGCCTCTACGTCGATATCGGAGACAAGGGGACGACGACGATTCAGCGTCGGCACTCGATCGCCGCCGGTCCGATACCACATCGTCGGTATTCGGATCAAACGCACTCGTTGTACGGCTGCAAGATCGGCCGCATAGATAATCGCAGACTCTCCGTGCAGCCGCTCGTCGGTGATGCAATCGGATGCGAAGGCACCAGAGGTGCCGCAGAACCAATCATCGCTAGTAATATCTGTCCGCGAACATTTTCGAAAGCGACAGTTCACATGACACAATCAGTCATTCCATTTCATCCTGAGAATTCCACGCCCATCGATATTAAAGATTCAAAAAATAATAAATCCCGAACCGCTAACAAATCTAACAGCGATGTGCATTTCGCTGCTAACAAAAAAAGTACCAGTGCTCTTACTGGCCGTAAAAATAGTGCCCTTCCGATTACACCTAAGATGATGAGAAGGCGATTCTCTGAACAACTAATTCTCGAGGGAGGTCTCGGCAGCGTTGGCGAATCTGAGAATCTGTTCGATCAACTCGAGAACGTGGAGGAGGCAGAGGAATCCTTCACTGCGATAAACGCTCGAAAAAAAATCACGCTCAATAAGCATTACTACCCGGAAGGTGGCTGGGGATATGTTATTATCATAATAACGATTCTCGTGCATCTAATCTCTCATGGGCTGCAACTGGCGTCCGGCTTGCTGATGAACCCGGCAATGACGCGATTTGAGCAGACAGTTGAAAACTCAGGTACAGCATACAGAAGGACATTATTGACTTGCTTAACAATCGAATTGACGCTAACATATTTACTCGTATTTTATTGTTTATTTTGAGAGATGTCAATTATAACAATAAATAAATTTATAAAAGATAATAATAATTTGTGAAACTTACTACCGCGTAGTGATTGATTATGTAATTTGCGTGAAAATTTTCACGTTCATTTTTTACTTTTCACTTTTCATTTTTTATTAAGGGTCAAGATTTCACGTGAAACTTTTCATGCATAGCGATTGTATATACAGCTTGGAGATATACTAGCTTATAAATCGACATTTATAATACATTAATTCAACTTAATTCAAGATAAGTAGTATCTATATCTATCAAAGAACATAACATGGCTAAACTACATTCATTCTACTTTCGAAATATATTTATTAATTTCTCAAATTTCCGTTACCACGGTTCATGGCAAAAAAGTTTACGTAAACAATTTCATATTTTCACAGTTGGAAAAGTTACATGACCCTGCGATCATAGATGATCGTAAAGTTCACGTAACTTTTTACTTTTCACGTTTCCGTCCTAGGGGAAATGTTACATTGCCCCCTGATTGCGTATTTATCATCAAATGTTCGTCTCTTACGCTAAGAGAAAAGTTTGGTATTTATGACTATAACTACATAATAAAATATTATGGTGAGAAGCTTCATTTTTATAGTCATTACTGCT